TTACTCCAGTTCCTTTCTATTAAGACGAAAGCAAAATTTTCTTTTACTTAGTAATAACTCTTCCTTCTCTGAATACTGTAAAATATGGATTCACGAAGATCTAGAACTGCGCTCGTAGAAAACTTCTGTGATCTTAAACTACTATGGATTATTCCTCATGCAGCTTTCCTATTATAATTTTGAAGAAATGAAAAGAAGTAGTCAGCACGTTGAGAAGAAAGTACGCTACTAAAAGAATAAATTAAGTCAAATATTGACTTAGGAAGAATTTATAGCGCTTCCTATCGGCACTTCCTTACTTGCGGCACAATCAGTTTACTATTGTTGGTTCTCTACATCATTCAACTGTTTGATAAGATACATTTTTGGCGGTCCTAAGCCTAAGGTTATGGCACTGATATTCTGGGTCGCTTCTTTTGCGAGTTGTTCTGCGTATTCGTTACTTATTCGTTGAAATTTTACATACGATTCCTTAAGTATTTTTATTTTCTGTGCAGAACTGCTTTTAGCTGTTTATATTAGCATTAATGATCGTCTTTTTATAAACTCATCGCTGTTCATTGTACTTTATCCAAGTATTTGACCTTGCTATGTCTTTAGTGTTTTCCATTTTACTTTTCAGAGTATTCGTTTTGCTTCTGTCGGCTCTAAAGTCTTTTGATCTGAAACGAATTTTTGTGTTTATTAATTGAAAAAGTGTGGGTAGAAAGTTGTTGAATAATTTTAATTAGGGATGTTGCTACACTAATATCCGGCTTGTTTTGGTAGTTTTAAATTTCTTCTATGATATTTTCTTGCTCGAGAGATGTGATAAAGTAATTTTCTCTTTTTGTTCTTTAAAACTTTAAATCTTCTAACATTGATATAGTTCGACCGTTTCAAACGCGGTCTTGGCTGGCAATCTGCCAAAACACATAAGGGGCGTTATTACTTGCTGCGACGTGAAAGTCTTCCCTTCTTCGGAAAGAGAGAATATGCTCGAAGGAAAGAAAATCTCCTTCCTTCCACCCTTTTTGAGAATAATTCGGTTCTAATGTCGCATGCGTGTTTGCACTCATGGTCGCGGATGAAGCGGTCGAACTGTAATGGTTCTAGTACGGGGTTCAAATCCTGGCGAACGGGCTGGCTTTATCGGCGTTTTCATGGTTTTCCCCATGTGTAACGTATATACGAGGCAAGCCTCCTGTTTGGCAGAGAGCCCTCGGGCGCTTTGCCATAAACAAATAAAACAAACCAAACCAAACCAAACTCATAATGCTTCTCCCAGAGAATAAGTTATATGTTTATAGTCGGATTTATCATTTAATGGCTTGATGTTTTTCCGTGTACTTTCCATTCTGTAATTGCGTAAATCAAGCGATGACTAGTTATAATGCAAAATGCAAACTTCACTGGACGTCGTGGATGTTGGATGCCCTTGCCCAGGCCTTCTGTGGATCCTAAACCTGTTTTCACGAACTGTTGATGATATTAGATGGTTGAACTGTCTTGTAAACTGAGCTAGGATTCTTAGCAGTTTGAAGGCAAGGATTGCGGATTCGATCTGCTCTCTGTCAAAAATGGTTAACTCGATCTATCTTCACGGGTAACGAGAGCCTTTAACAGCAACAAGCTGACCAAAAGACCTTCCTCATCTTAAAACATAAACCAAAGACATAAACTACATCATGTTATTTACCTGTCTCTTCGAAACATCTGGAAAAGCAGATGGTTATCTTAAAGAAGTCTTAAAGAAGACTCTGTAACTGACATTAGCCAAGTGATTTTGAAGCCATCAGCCAATCTGCATTTTCTACAGCAGAAGAAAGTTTTACATGACAATCAAGAGTTTATGTTTCGTAAGTTAGTTTTGACTTAACTTACATTTTTAAAAACTTACTTCAAGAAAGCTACCGGAGGGAACTAAAATTAGTTACAACTTTAACTGAGACAGTTAGTACAGTTAGCTAAAAGTAAGGTAAAATCTTTAGCAAATCAGTTAGACTTCCTTCTAAATTTCAGAAATTGTTCATTGGTTAATTAATTAAGCAAACCATGCCATGATTATATGAAGTATATAGAAGTGAGATGTTTTGGCCAGGTCTAACTTTTTTAAGCGGCAAAAGGAAAATTCTCGTCATGCGAAAAATCAATTTTTATTCGAGAATAAAACCTCAGAGAGAATTTACAATTATTTTTCAATGGTTTTTAAGAAACGTCCACAAAAGAGCTTAACTTTCAGACAGAAATGCCACCTGGGAATAACTCGCTCGTAGTTATCAATTGACATTAGCATATTTTGCTTAACACTGCCTCTTTTAGTGGATTGCAAAATACATGTGTTACCAGCAAAGCATGAAATGCCGTTCTATAGAACATGCTATAGAATGCCGGACTTTTTAGGCAAAATATGAAATATGAGAATTATTACATACTTTTCCTAGGCAACAGGATAATGCGCGACCACACGTGGCACGCATTGTCCAAGGGTTCTTCGTCAATTGCCAGATTGAATTGCTTCTCTGGCCTTCTCCCTCTCCGGATCTTTCGCCGATAGGAAACATGTGGTACATGGCTGCTGAACGACTGACCCAGATTACATCGCAAGCTGCCACACCAGATCAACTTTGGCAACGTGTGGAAGCTGCTTGGTCTGCTGTACTCCAAGAAGACATCCAAAGTCTCTTTGAATCAATGCCGAAGCGTGTGGCAACGGTGATCTCCAACAATGGCGGCTACTGATTCTGGAAGGAACCACACTTCACAGAAGTCTATAAATTTAATCATCTGATACTTGGTCAACATGTTATCAACTAAATAAATTTTGTTGTGATAACTCTTGTCTTTCTTGGTGTTGCAATTTGGGTGGCCAGCAGTGTATTTCAGACTTGTGTGAAATATGAATTGTTTCATACATTGCCAGCTAGTTTTATGCATTATATACAATGTCTAAGCATTCTATAGAATGCCGGATTTCGATTTGTGCCCGCAACATATATACAAAGTAAAATAATTTGCCATCTAATGATACTTAAAATTTGAAGGTGTATAACGAATTTAGTAACTCCGAATTTGGCGACAGTGCATTCAACATTGGCGTGCAATGCGTATAAAGTGGCAACCCATCTACATAAACAAAACCCCCTTTTCGAAAGAAGAGATTTCACTGTTCATCCCAGGAAGAAAAATGAAAAAAGAAGAAAAGCCGGAAAAAACATCAAAATAATAACAGCAGTAAAAAGTAAAGTAAAATAAAAACTATGTAATCATCCGGGAGCAAGAGTCAGTCAAGGTCGACTCGCTCATTTGAGACCCCCGCAACCCTCACCCTTTCCTCACCTGACGCTCACCTACGTCACGATTGCCGACATAAATGTAAGCTGTTCAGTTCGTAGAAAAAAAGGAGCAATTCTTTTTTTTTTCCCTACCGATGTAATATTTCTAGAATGACGAGCGGATATCGCTTGTTTCAGAATTCCCTTCCTCTAATTATTAGATCTCTTATCAAAGTCATTCACAATTTTGCAATGATGATGGTATAATTAAAGAGCAAATTTATTTTTATGTCCGTTTTAGTGCCTATATTGCAAATGAAGCATTTAGCAATTATAATAACTAGCAGCGAGTGTTCTTTTTTTTTTTTTTTAAGTCAAAAGGAGCAATTTGCTCAGGACTATTAATTTCGTTTTGGCATTTTGCATTGATTCACTATAAACGTTGATTCACTTTTCACATTGTTGCCACCCTATATTATCGCCCTGTATTATATTTCAAGAAATTAAATAAGGAAGGCTCTGCATAAATGTATGTGTTTCTCGCATTGTGATAAAACAGCAGCACCTGGAGCCATCCAGTTTTGAATAGCGAATGTCTCCAGCCGAATATGGACATCTGGAAGCCCAAATTTGGAATTTGCTTTACTATATATTTCATATTTCGTAAAACTTTAACGAATTTTGGATTAACAAATTCAACGAATTCAAAGCGATCGATGTCAACACTGTACGGGAAAAAAAAAAATTATCTTCAGTGCGCGAGACTGTATATCGGAAATTCTAAAGACATGCTTTTTTAAATGCTTTGCAGTATTGCTGTTGAATTGAATTTTATGGTTTAAGTGCGAAGAATATGATTTTAAATAAGGTAACTCACAAAACGTTAAAAAAAACGCCCCTTTGGACGTAATATAAAAGCTGAGAGCTTTCAGTTTTTATTATTATTATTATTATTACGGGTGGGTATGTCTTCTATTTCAAAGACTGTTTTTAATGCAACTTCAAAATATAAGAAACTCTCTTTGTACCAAAACGTATTTAGAGATGCATAGCTACAGACCAACAGTCTTTTTCTTGAAGTTCTGTTAAGAACTTGTGGTAGTATCTTTGATGACACTGGAATAATGAAAATAGGAATTGAGCAGAATGCCCTGATATGTGTTCAAACAGTGCTTAGCATGAATCTTTTTAGAAACCGACATCGTTGAGTGAAGTTGTAGAGTCATTAGGCTAATTGGAAGCAGGAAAGATGAAAAATATACAACCGCCTTCGCCGGGAATCGAACCACGGACCTCTGGAATACCGGCTCAGTGTGCAGAACCACTACACCATGAAGGCTCGTTAGGGAAGTGGGAGAAATACCTTATAAAGTTGCCATGTTCGTGAGATAACTTACTCAAAATTAAGAATGAAAAGTTTCACTTACGTCATGTTATGTAATTTGAGTTTCGAAAAAGAAGAAAATGTTAATATGTAATTAAATATAGCTTCAGAATTTAACTATGGCGCAAGCTGGCTCTGACCGAAGCCGGCGTAAACAAGCCTAATGGCAAGAATAACTCAACGCCGCAGAGTACTCTAATCGACAGAATCAGAGTTAGCAACGTGGCCTTCAAGAAGGGAAAACCCACCCTGATTACAGAGAAACTCAAGACAGAAAATTCATCTATGTTTCGTTTTTTATAGATTGTGTTTCGTTCCATCTACGTTTAATTTTTTTATGGATTTATTCTTTTATTTTCTAGATCGTTACATTTGTGCCTCATTGTTTGACAGAAAAGAATGAGCTGGACCAGCGATTCTCAACTGGTGGTACGCAAGACAAAAATAGATGGTACGCAAAGAAACAAGGTATTTTTAACTATTAAATTTAAAAATACTGTGAAGAAAAAGAACAATTGAACTCTAACTGATCGAACTCTAACTGAAGATTTCAAAAAGTAAAACAATCGTTAACATTTGGCTGAACTGTAAAAAAGAATTAATAAGGCTATTAAATTTTTATTGTCTTCTTGCACAACCTGTGAACAAGAATTCTCTTCCATGTTATATTTGAAAAATAAATAGCAAACAAAATTAAAAGTGGATCCTAATTTACGGTCAAAACTAAGTGAAATAACACCAGACATAAAGAAATTGATCTCTCTTAAACAGGCCAAAATTTAGCATTAATTTTATAACTTAAATTTTGCTAATTAAAATGGCAACCATTTTTAATCTAATATTTTTTTCATGTGTGCATATTTAATACAAATAGCCAATAGGTTGTGCAAATGGTAAAATATATTTTTTTAATACCTCTATTGAGAAATTGAAAAATAATCATTGCAAAATGTAGTGGTGGTACTAAAGTTTTTAAATTTTCGTTTAGATGGTACGCGTTAGTCAAAAGGTTGAGAACCGCTAATCTATGGCAAGAAGTTTAATCCCGCGGAAGCTGTCAATTCCAACCGCACTATTATTGCTGCACAAAAACCATGCAGTTTCTACGAAGAAGACATCCACAAGAATGTGAAACAGGGAAAAACAGTTGTAGAATGAATTATCATTACATTACGCGAAACGTGTTCCCTTTGTATATAATTGCTTATGTTATATTTCCTCAACGGCCACGAAATTTTGACAACGTCCACTGTAAATTACAAATGAACTCTTATGAATAACAGTTGTCTCCTATACTCATCCATCAAATTCGAATCCATACTAATACTGAGATTCTTGTAAACACTGAAATTCACTTTCGTTTCTCTTTCACGAACTGAAAGAATAATAACCAGTCTATTTTAAAAGATTTTTTAATTGTTCCTGTCTGCCTTAATTGAAAAAACACTAAGTCTTCAATTGCACCGATATACAGTCACCTTTTCCCGGCCACCGTTTTTGAAAATGACCAGTATTTCTGGGAATGTTAACAAACGGTCAGATTATTATAGAGAACGTTGTAATTCTTCTCTGATAACGATGCTAAAAATACTGTTACGAAATGTCCAGGCGCGGTACAATAGCTTCTCCGCAAAGCAGGTTTAGGGTTACCACAAAATGGGTTTAGGGTTGCCATATTTGGCGAGAAATCGTCCATTTAGCGACAAAATTGTCGATATGCTATGGACGGATGGAGAACATTCTGGAACGAATTCTTACCGGTTTAGCCCAGAATGTTCTCAAACACAAGCCAAAAACTATATAAACCCTGCTGGTACGCGGAAAGTCAGTGCGGGATAGTTAGTCACGTGCGATCGAGTTGACAGCTCGGCAGTGAGAGCCGAGTAGGTCGTCGAGTGCATCGAAAGAGTCTTCTTGTGTATCGCGGTTAGTGCATCGTCGAGAGTGTGTTGAGCTCCGGGAACGACTGAGCCGAAGAGTCGGGAGCTGTGCTCTGTGTGTCGTGGAACGAATCGCGAGCTGTAGCGTGGAGAGTATGGAGATTACGGGGAGTCTCGAGAACAGAGTCGGAAGCTGTACTCTGGTGCTTTGCAGTGAAGCTGCCTCCACCGTTATAGCCTGATAACCTGAAGGTTGTGTCGCTGATTGTTCCAGCGTGTTTATAGTAGTCCTTCGACGACTGCAAAACGTGATTTTGGAGCTGTCTTGATTAAAATTGGTTAAATAAAGTGTGTTTCGATACTTCATCAAGTGTCGTCGTTATTCACTCCAAATCTACGAACCCCGTACGAACGTGAAGGAAGAAAATAACGCAACAATCCGATTCTGATGCGATATGGAACCCACATAAAAATTTCGATAAAAAATAAACTATTTCTTTTTCGTTATATCAGCAACAATGGCACGCAATTTTTAATGATTTTCGTCTTTCTAATCAAATGGTCGTAAAAGCTCAAATTCTGTCCAGTATTTCACTTGTATTCAATTTTAGGCGATTAAATGAGGCAAAAAATGGATCATAATTGATCAGAAATCAATAATGCGAACAAACAAATAAACGCACAAACAGAGATTCTTCTTTATAGGTATAGATTTTGTAAAACTTACAAATTTTTGATTGACAAACTCTACGATTTGAAAGCGAGCACAGTGGCAACACACTCGAAATAAAACAGATTTTTAATTCCAGCGTGCGAGACTGTTGCCACTCGGAAAAATGAGGGCGAAAATGAGTTTTCAGAGTTTTTAATTAATATCTCTGATTTTAGGGCGGGGGGTGAAGCGATCTTTTCCAGGACCCAGAAAAGAATTGTAGAAAGTTTGGTGACGATATCTATAGTAGTGACTCAGTTAATCGCGGACAAACAAACACACATAGAGAGATTTATGAGACAATTCACAGTTTTGCCTTCAATTATTACAGTATTAAATAGATCATTTTATGTCACGTTATGGGTTGAAGCAATATAGTACATTACATACCATAAAAACAAATGAAACTCATGAAAGAATTTAAAACTAGCTGCCAGGAAGGAAAAGAAAATTCAAAGGAAAAGAACAGAAGGAAAGAGTAAAAAAAAAAAAAAAAATTAAATTATCCATTACTCATTTGAATCAGAAGAACTCTGGCACCTACAACCGACCTTGAATTTTTGGACCTGTCATCTTTTTTCAAGGATCAAGGAAAAGTAAACTGCTTTTTATCTACACGGCCGTCTTGACAGATAATTTTAAAATCCGAAATATTTACTTTTATATATTCTTATCATTTAGCACTTCAAGGATCCATATTTTTCTATATTTTCTGACCGTTGACATCGTCATGTAGCAAGCATATTTATATTCTTATTCAGCGCCACGCAGTGTGTTTATATCTTGATGTTTTGACAGGGTTCGTATCACTTCAGTTTGGAATTGAGTTCCTGATATAATATCAGATCAGTCAGTCAACTCTTGGTATAATATCGAAATATTGCTATCAATAAATAAATACAGAACGTAAAAATTACCAGATGCACTATCCATCTAGCAGCAATGATAAGAAATAAATATCAAAAACTCTCCGGAAAGAATACGGTAATTACAAAAGCCCCATAGATTATCATTTTCGAAAGTAACCGGTATTTCCGAGACTCTTAAATAAACACAGGTAGTGAAAATCATTTCTTTTATAAAGTTATAAAAACACTGAAATTCACTTTCACTTTTAATGGATGACCAATGGCAATCGCCTTCAACGGTTGACCCAAATCATTCAGAACTGTGGGTGGTTGTGTCGTAGGGATTTTATGTTAATTAAGCAGCTACCTTATTTCGCCTTCATTATCATTATAAGTAAGACTATAGTGGAACATGATTTAATTTATTTTATATAATTATTAAGATTTAAGTGGCAACATGATTTAATGTTTTTGCATAGTTATTAAGATTCTCTGTGTGGCAACAACGAGTTGAGTTCAAAAAGTTGTTATTTTGAGTGTTTCAGGATAATCGTTGCGTGAGCCTTATTCCTTAAAAAGCTTGTTATACTATTTTTATATTAAAAATAAGTAATATGTAACAAATAAGTGTGAAAGTTATATAAAAGTAAATATGCTGTTTCTTTTTTTAAAGACTAAAATAAGCATTTATGTAAATTATGAAACGGTATTGATGTTTTGTTTCGATTTTGAGTTTTCATCAACGCCTACAAGATTTTGTCTATTCTGACTAGGATGCAATTTAGTTAATGTATTTTAAGTGCATAGTTCTTGAGCTCGAGAAAAGACCTTTGACTACTTTTTTACATCTCTCCGTTACTGTTCCGGCTTTACTTCCGCCAGTTCGCAGTTGAATGAAATCTTGAGTGCCGAGCCATTTAAATTTGACGAAAATGTGGTCTGTGATATTTTAATGGTTTATGTAACCGTCACCTTAACGTCCAATCCCTTCAGGTAGAATAGCCCACGTATGCTTTGTCGTAATCAAATAAACTGAGTAATACTAAAATGCAAATTCGAAATACTTGTTGAAAATTGAATAGGTGGAATAGAGAGATAAGTTCGTTTTGTTGCTTAAGTGATGAGAAAATTATAGTTAATGAGTATAATTCAGTGATCGAGGTACACAGTGTATGGCAGAAAAAAGTTTATTATTAATAGCAGTCATGACAAAAAGCAAAGACGTCATTTGAAGATCTTGTTCATAAAAAAAAAACAGGAAATATCTGAAACTTTCAAAAAATATTTTGCATTCTACGAGCAAGGTTTGTATGCATTTTCATAAAAAATTGTACGTTAACCCCAAGCAGCACCGGAACGTTCCGAAAACGTTCAGAGTCCGTGTCATACCGTTCTATAACGGTGTTAGGTGTATTTAGAACGTTCTACATAACGTGCTAAAGTGGTGCGTGTAACAACCGTGTATTTAATACGTACATTTCGACGTACAACAATCGTGTTTTTTGAAACGTTTCCAGATTGAGTTATAAAATACGTTCGACATAACGTGCTAAATTTGTTTATGTTAGAACCGTATTCTTAGGACGTACATTTCAACGTAAAATACTGGTACTTTTCGAAATGTTCTCAACATGTACTGGAAAAAAAAACGTTCTAAATTACGTGCTAAAACGGTGCGTATTATAACCGTGTTCTTAGGACGTATATTTCAACGTACAACACTGGTACTTTTCGAAACGTTCTCAACATGTGCTAGAAAATACGTTCTAAACGACGTGCTAAAGCGGTGCGTATTATAACCGTGTTCTTAAAACGCACATTTCAACGTACAATCCTGGTACATTTCGAAACGTTCTCAACATGTACTGGGAAAAACGTTCTAAATTACGTGCTAAAACGGTGCGTATTATAACCGTGTTTTTAGGACGTATATTTCAACGTACAACACTGGTACTTTTCGAAACGTTCTCAACATGTGCTATGAAAAACGTTCTAAACGACGTGCTAAAGAGGTGCGTATTATAACAGTGTTCTCAGAACACATATTTCAACGTAAAACACTTATACTTTTTGGAACGTTCTGATCATGTGCTAAAGTACGTTCTACAGGACGTGGTAAAGCTGTGCGTATTATAACCGTGTTCTTCGGACATGCATTTTAAAGTACAACACTGGTTTTTTCGAAACGTTCCCA